TTGACTCGGCTCAAGTCATAAAGCAGAAGAGGTAAGGTCATAAGGGTCCTATTGAATGATATATCAATCCTTTGTAGTTATATAGAGTTGTTTTGGATAAGACATGATAAGACTGTTTTCTTTTTTCACGAAAATAAGAGTTTCACCACATAAACCCGGCTCACCATTTTTTGTTGGTTTGGGCTCCTCATTAGTCTTCGGAGCTGAACTCAACACGCAGAGCTGTGAACCGGTGTGTCGGGAACCGGTGCGTTCCAAGCACCGACGTCCCAGAGATCTCAAGAGTCCGAAATCCAATGTGTGTGCATCTGAAAGGCACCACAGGGCAATTGAAAGAACATTGGACTCTAGTGACTGGAAGTTCCAGTCAGTCCTGCAAGATTCCAGGAAAGTGTTCGTGTTTTGCCTTCGTTCGGCAAAGCTGAAAGGTCCAAGCCAGGTGCCTTTTTCTGTTGCTTCGTTTGGCTTCCAGAACACCTGCAAGCAGGCTTCCAGGTTGCATCAGGGTAGGTTCTGGTAGATCATGGACTGCCCTTTTCAACCTCAGTTCGACCTCACATGATCGCTCGCCCACCGAAAGCCGTTCGTTCCGTGGGCCCAGGCAGGCAGCTTGGCCATCAATCCGCCTGCCATCGCGCTGCGGCCGGGGGATGTCTACTACCTGCAGCCTCCAGAGCATGGCTCCCGCACCCCCACGCGCTATTCCTTGGGCGCGCCGGCGGGTCCTCAACAGGTGCGACTGTCGACTGGGCGTCGACTTTGAGTTCGTAGTCTGACCTGGCAGTGCATGACCAAAGACCAAAGACTCCATCCACCAAGAGATCTAGACTGCAGTGGACAGCCCCGATCTTGCGCCGGAGGTGGATACCCCAGCGCCGCAGGCTGCACCTGCGCCGCGCGCAGTGCATGCAGTGCACGCAGTGCACGCAGCTGCGCTGACCGCACGCAGCTTGAGCCCAACACCAGCACCTGCCACTTGGCTTTCCCAAAGGGCCCAGCATTAACAGACGGTGTGAGATTGCTGTGGACACCATGGTGCTGACTGCGGTGATGGGTCGGCAGGTCAGTTCGAGGGGAGACAGGAACTCGCAACAACGAGTCTTGTTATTGGGCCCTGCTCGCGAGCCAGTGGCCCTGCTTTCATGTGATGGACAGTGTGCCCCATTCAGGATGAGGGGCGCGAGCCTATAGGTGGAGTAGGGTGAAAAGACATGGAACACCCCCAAGAAAGCCACCGCCACAGGGAGGATGATGTAGAGCTGTGGATGTAGGATTGGGCATTTTTCATCTAGTTGGTAGGATCCGGAGTTTGAAAGTAAATGACAAGATTCGTTTTGCATTCTGGCAAAGAAGAACATTACTTATTATTGAACAGGTGTATGGAGCAAGCCGGGATGATTTAGTTGGGAAGTCTCAAGCTGTAACAGAGAGTGCATTCTTTCTATGTCTTTACTGTACAATCCAAAGCAAATGATTGATGACTCATTTGAATAAAAAATGAATGCATAGATTGCCAGGAGGCAAATAGAGGATGATCTGTGATGTGTCTAAATGCATGAACATGGCATGCAAATATAGTATAATATGGTATAAATATAGTATAGTGTATATATAATACAATATAATACAATAATATAACATATATATATATATATATGCATAACCATTCTGATATATACATACTTGAGCATACACCTGTTTGCGTCAATTATATGTACTTCATATACAGTCAATATGTTGATATAGCCGCTTTGTGATTCAGTTGTTATGTATTATGAACAAGGGAGAAACAGAAAAGATGAGGGGATGAAATAAGCTTACTCCTTGTTCCCACCTGGACAGCTGGCTTTGCATCCAAATTCTTCCTGCTCGTCCGCCCTGGGGACCAAGACACGTCATGCCCAGACTGGACATGTGACGTGAGCTCATAGACATGATGTTTTTTTCACACTCATGTAGTATCAATCACTCCATTTTGTTTTATGTGTGGATACAAGATGATACAAGTGGACACTCAATTTCCCTCAAGAACATCACGTCCATCTCTATTAGGTTGGAGGCCATCTCTATTGAGTTGGAGGCCATCTCTATTAAGTTGGAGGCTATTGCTTCTAGGTTGGAGGCCATCGCTTGTAGGTTGGAGGCCATCCCTATTAACTTGTCACGTCACTGAGACCCAGCTTGCCTTGGCAACGCTTCTTTTTCTCTTGCCCAGGGCACCGTGAACGGCGCATGGACCTGGCCCGGACATCTAGGCCGCGGCGGCGCCATTTATGCTGCGCCTGCCGGGGTGGCTTCCCCCACGCGTGTGGCAAGCCCGGGGGCCTATGTAGCTAGTCCACCCCGAGTGGCAAGCCCTGTACGTTGCTCGGCCTTGAAATAAGGGTGTTAAAACGGCTAGAAGTGCAGGGCGGGTGTCCTTTCTCCAGGGGTCAGATTGGTCAGAGCGGATTCATGATTCTGTGTGTTTCTGTGTGTTTTTGCGAGGGTGTTCTGGTGATGTTGGGTCCGAAGTAGGTGATCATGTCGATGAGTTTTTTCTGCAACGCGGACAGCCACTACATAGGGTCTGAAGCTTCATATGCTCGCTATGTCAAAGGCCGGTGAGAGGCTCCCTGCCTTTGGTCCTGCTCACTAACATAGAATCCGCCAGTGGAGGTGGTTTTCCTTGAGTTTGTTTTCGGTCACATTCATTAGGCCATAGTTCAGCAATGTTCAGTATACGACTCACTCTTGATACCCGGAAGCAAACAAGTGAATTGCTCATGGCAGTTGTACGAGTGGAGACACGCTTAGACTTAAGAGTGTATGTTCCGGTCTTACTTTGTACACAAAGGTGTCCTAGCAGACTCTTGGTCTCCCAAGGCTTCTGTAATTTCATGATTGTGATTGTTGTTTGGGTGTCGGCCCTGTTTGGAGCGGCATCCTGGTTGCGACATGTTGGATGGTAAACAGTCCTGTCAATAACGGACCTTAACTTCGTCAGGTGCACGCGATCGAATCTAATATGAAGTGCCTCATTGGGTGGCCACTAGGGCCACGTCTTTTTGCCTCAAGGTACCCCATCACAGCCTTTCAATGTGTACGTATCCTACTTCTCCAGGTCCCTTTTGGGGGTTCCATGCCTGCAGCACGTTTTTTTTTTTTAACACGACGTGTGCCCAACCGGCTCAGGTTTCATCCAAGGGCAAACAGTGCCGACATTTTGGTTCCCAAGAACTGTTTCAGTTTCACCTCAGCCATTGCGACCACCGCAATGGCTTGTAATGGGCGAGCCAAATTTGGCCAAAGAGGCCCAGAATCCACAGCCATGTACAGAGGGTTGGGCTCCATTATCTGAGCCTACTTCGACCCTATGAAGAGATGGCGAACAGGAACAAACATGGCTTCACCTGCTGTGTCGTATCAAGGAATCAAGACTGCCATAGCTCTACTCAGCTTCACCTGCTGAATCTCAGTATCTCACTGAATTTCCTCTTCGGAACGCATCTGTTCAATTAAAGGCATGCCGGAGGGCGCTAATATTGTTGGATATGTTGGTGGAATGTGACCGGGACCCAGTCCACAAGAAAGACTACTTATTTGTGTGTTGTTCTCTTTCTAGTGTTTTTCCTGGATGTGTTTGCGACGTTTTTCATTAAACTGCAATCTTTCTCTTGAAGCTGTTGGGATCCCCATTTACTCGGTGATTTTCCGAATGCAAAACCACAACAGACGTCTTCAGAGGCTACTATTCTACTTGTCTCGTCACAAGTCGTTCGTCCTTTGTAGTGGACAACCCATCATGCCACCGTCCTGCTGTACGAGGTCAGCATGACCTCGATCCTGGTTTTTCTGGAGCCAGACACATAAACTTCGAAACTTCACAAGATGTTCGACCTCTATAGCCAGTATATAGCCAGTAGTGGCGCCACTATATAGCCACTCTGAGATTTGTTGATGTGTTGCCGGATGCCCCGCACCCCGACTCATCGGACGCAGCGGTTCATCGGACACGTTTCGATCGCGCGAAACGCAAACGCGCGCGGAATTGGTCAGAGCAATTGTGCGGATGGTCGGACGCACTCTGACATGCAACTCCACTAAACAGGCCTCCTATTAAGCATAATGTATGTTTTTGTATGTTTATCCATGTTTATCCCATTCACAATGGGAGTTACATTCATGGTCGGACGCATGACGGAGTGGCAGTGGCGCGTTCCTGATAAAGGGAGCCAAGTCTTGGGAGACAACTCGGAGACTTGTAATTTGGGACGATCTAGTCGATAGAACATGATACGACTGCGAAACCGAAACGTAACATGACCACCGTGATCTCTATAAATCTGTCCAAACCATTTTCCCTTAACTCGACTGCTCATGACGCTTGGGCTGCTTCTTGCTCTCGTGTATGGAGCGAAGGCGCATTCCTGGTGCGAGGCCAAGGGAGGCAGCTGCTTAGGGCAGCTTCATCGCTGCTTGGCCGCGCTTAATTTGGATCAAGCAGCATGTACGACGTCATACGATGCCTCGATTTGGCAATCGTATGTTGTAGAGAGCAAGTTCTTTGATATCCCACCACTGCGCGATCTCCAAATGTGATACGTGCATGTGACATATGATGATATATGATCTATGATCTATGAGCTTCGGTTGTGACGCCGTGATTGGTCGATGGCACATTTGACGAGATTGGATCCCATTGAGCAGATCGATACCATTGCTTGATTGTGTCTACCTGGAGTCTCCAAAGTATGTACACTACACCTTCGAACATGGGGAAGACATCGGCCATGTAAACATAGGCAACACCTTTTCACATATAATTATATATATATATATGCAGACGGGTACAAGAGGCGAGAGAGGGATGGCGTGGGTATGCACCATGGAAATTCAACGCCTGGTTTCATCTGGTTTCTGAGACTTTGTGGATGGATCCCTGAACCCGGGCTGAAGGGCATATATACAAGATATATCATGATATGTGCGTTTTGGCAGGATTGTTTGGAATTTCTGAGGCTTTGAGAAGCAAGAGACACCATCCCTGGTGCCATGCAGTCACGATGCGTGGTTTGGAACCCGCCACCATCACCAAGTTTCTTTGCGCTTGGCAGATTGGGATGGTGACGGGGACGTCGACTTCTTGTGCGGCAAGACGCAGAACGGCACCACGATCACCTTGCAGGAGCAGCTCCCGGATGGTTCTCTCCAATCGCTTGAGTTGCTTCGTAGCACAATGGCGCCATGGCACGACATGGACATTGAAGTCGCTGACTGGAATGGTGATGGGAAGATGGACTTGCTTCTTTGTACCGAAGAAGCTGGCTCAGTCCCCTAGGCAGTTGAATGTGTTTTCATGGAACTTTTGGAATAACTCACCCTGTTCTGACAAGATTTTGCCATCCAGCGGTTTTATATGGTTTTATGGATCGACGGAACAAACTGTCCACGGAAAAGTGTCGATGCAAGATGTCCGATTTCGGACACCAAACAAGGTCACTGTGAGTTGGCTCGAGCACTCCGTGAAGCCGTGTTTGGATGCCGACGTCAAGCACTTCTTGTTTGTGAATGGATCGGAATGCAAAATGCACACATTGCAGGCCACGGGACCGAAGTGGTTTGTTGAGGATGCGTGTTCTTCAACTCATACATACTCATACTATCCCAGACCATCCATGTATGGAATAGTTACCTACATTGGGGTCATAAATAGGGTATATGTATGTAACTATTCCAGACATGGATAGTCTGGGTATGGACCTTGTGAGTGTTTCTTTCTAGTGTTGGGCATCACTGGGATGCGCATCGTGTTATACAACCGCCATATTCTTGCAAATCTCGAGCAGATTTGAGTGGCAGAAGCACGGCAAGTGCAATGCGACGATGTGATGAGTGGTGATGTTTGCTAAAAGATTGAATCATATAATGGGTGTTGTAATTGGTGAGGTGGTTGTTTTATAATGATTTGTTAGCGCCTTTTCTGATGTGATGTGGCGTAAAGATGTGTAAGGTATGAAGTGTTATTTTTTGTCATGTCTTGAAGTTTAGTGCAGCACAGTGGTGATGTGTGGTGAAGTACAATGTGACAATGTGGTCAGGTGGTGTGTGTGATGGTGCGTTGTTTTGCTGACGTATTGGAGCCTAATGCTGCAGTTGGCCGCGTTCCACATTTTCCGCTACCCTCCCCAACATCCACATCGACGCATCTCTTTCCTGCATCAAACATTTCTTGCAAAGTGACTAATGTAATCTAATGTATATCTATATATGTATATGTACACGTATAAGTAATTAATGTGTTTCGACAATTCGACAACTGCAGTTGCATTCCAAAATTAAATGCACTTCTGAGGAACCATCCAAACACCTCACCACGTCCACACAGGGCAAATTTCGCTCGGTTCTCTCTCTATCTCTCTGTCTTTTAACCGTTCTGCACACCCCCACAGCCCAATGATACTTGTGGCGACACCTTCCATGCCAATGCCTTGATGCGCATCCTTTGGCTTACCCCAGCTCATACGCGCGGAGACCCTATTGTTTCTGTACCCGGAAGCTTCCCAGCCAAACAAGAAGATGACTAAGTAAGTGGATATAAGTGATATGACATATGTATAAAGTGGTTATTTTGCCTTGCCAACTCCCCCAACGCGTTAGTAGGACTTGCATCTGAACAGGCGGTTGACTTTGACGAGGATGGGGATGTGGACCTCTTTCTTGGGCAAAGGTACTTCGAGCGTATCTCGAACGACACTTTGATCGAACGTGTCGCCGATGAGAATCCGATCAGCATCTTTGATGGAAAAATGAAGTATATCATTGACATGGATGGTGACGGCAGCGTCGAAGTGCTAATGGACGGATGGGCTAAGGGTAGACATCATCGCCTCCGCTACTTTCGGCGAGCTGCTGACGGCAGCTTTATTGAGTCTCCTGAAAATCCCTTTGCAGACATCTCGGTCACTGTTCCAGGAGGGTACTGGGAGGACATGTCTTTGGTTGATTGGAATTCTGATGGGTTGCCAGACATTCTGCTTTGCGGCTTCATGGTTGACTTGGGATATGTTGGTGCGGGGCATTTTGTGCGTTATGATCAACATGTTCTTGACCTGGATCTCATTCACAATTCTCAGATGGACAGCTACGCGGATATTGACCTTGGCGGAAGACCAGAGATGAAATGGCTCAGCGTTGGAGACTGGAACGGAGATGGTTTTCTAGATGTGGTGGTGAGTGAAAAAGAAGGAATCTTTAAGAGTGATATCCAGCGTGGAGAATCGCCACAGCCCAAGTTGTATGAGAACCGTCCTGAGACACTTGGAAATCGTGGAAGTATAGACTGTATTTGTTTCCCGGAAATTGGGGTGACACCAATTGGGGGAATCTATGACCTCAGCACTGAGCACATTGTTTTTTACTTGTTTCTTTTTGCTGCATTGACTGCACCTAAGGGCAGCCAGCGAAGTGGTTAGGGCTTTTGAAAACGTCACAGCCACTTTTCTCGTCGATTACCCCAACACCAGCTATTGGCGGACCAGTGACTATAGGACTGCAGTTGCAGACTTTGATGGGGATGGTGAGCTAGATCTCATCATATTATCGGAAGCTGATGGAAAGCTCCACTACCACCGAAAGATCTCAGGCAATCTACAAGCTGAAGAGCCAAGGCATTTATTCAGCAACATCACAACCGAGAAGAAACAAAAAAAGTGTCGGTTTCTATTTGGTGCAGCCTATTCCCGTGGACTGGGACAAGGATGGTGACATGGATTTGATTCTGGGCTTTCCAGATGGTCGTCTTTTTCAGCAAGTGAACGGCACGTTGCAAGAGTGGCCACTCGAGCAAAGTCCCGTGAGAAATTTGTTGGCTGAATTAGATGAGTTTAGTCGTGGTAAATGGTGGTGGGACGAGTATGACATCATCCGGGTGACTAAAGCATCCGTGTGGAGATTCGTGGTTTCTCTTCTGTGCTTAGCAACAATTGTGAAAGTGCTTTTTTGTTATAACTTGTAGTCATCGCCCATTGAGTTGACCAGGTGTGGGTTTGACTAGGACCAAGCCCGCTGAGGATTGTGATGGCGATGGAGATATGGACATGATTCGACTCAAACCATGGTATGAGAAGCCCTGCTGCGTAACCTACCCCATTAAACACCAGGGTTTGCAGGCGTGTGAGCAGACTGCAGACGGGATGCGATGTGACGATGACTTCTTGTGCCTGAGAATTGTGAACAGCACAAAGTCAGTTTCTAACCGCTTGCTTTTGAGTCAGCATGGGGGGAACTTGTCTACGGAACTTCACCTGTTATCAGACGCAGTCCTTGCAAATAGATGCAAATAGTGTGGAAAATTGAATTGACTAGGTTTGCTCGGGGTAACGTTCTGAAACAACCATGTGAAATAAAAGCTAACTGCCTCACCCAATCGAATACGGAAAGAATCCCGCATCACCCCCACATCACAGGGTGCTGATTCGCATCAAGGTGCCTGGGAACAAACCTGAGCAATTTCAAGGGCGACTTCGGTGATGTAGTGACCTTCGATTTGGGAGATGTGGCTGATGGCCGTCTTAGCTTACTTGCAGCAAACAATAACAGCAAGAGTGTAGCTCGATCCGAACCAGAATTATGAATTTGTTCAATTCTTAGTGGTTAGGCAATTTTTTGCAGTTTCCGGTTTCAGCGGTTCTTCAGCGTTTCTAACCAGCAAGGTGTTGCAGTGGAGTGCAGGCTTTTGCACCCCCAAAGGCGCATGCTATGACAAGGGTTTTTGCTTGCGGCGACAGATGAATTGCAGCTGCATCGCCGGGTATGAGCTGGGTGATTGTTCTGGCTGCGAGCCCAACTTTCACAGCCTGCCGCAGAAGCTTTGTTCTACTAAACCTGGTATAACCTGGTAACTGTTTTTCCGGGAAGCTTCGGAAGCCCCCTCAAGTATCAGACGGCGCCTTTTTCGCTGAATGGCTCGATGACTGAGAATAAAGCATTTTCTGTTCAGCTGTCGGCAGCTATCTCCAAGAGTTTGGGAGTTCCGCGAACTCACCAGTTTAGTCTTAACCAGCCGACCGTCTTTTTCCTCTGAGGAAACTGGGGCAACTCCACAGTTGCAGAGCCTGCCCAGGAAATGGAATGGTTTGCCATGGTCGCGGTTCATGTTTTGATGATGCTGCAGCCAAACGTGAACCACAGGCCTGGAGTTGCGAAGGGTTCCTGTATCCAAGTGACAGGCCTTAAGACCCAGAGTCACAAATAACTCATCTCCCAGCAAGTCACTTTAAGTTTTGGGAAGCTAAACAGAATTGTTTGAGTCTCTGATTGCAACAATAATCTACAATAGTTATATATTAATTTATATTTAACTTTTTTTGTATACTTCCCCCTTCAATGGAAATCATAATCGCCAAGATCGTCCAACAGCTGACGAGCAAATTCAGGAGTCCACAGCCGCTTTGACAGCGAAAGGCAATGGCTCATGTGTTTGCCATGAGGAGCATTTCTTCGGAAGTGATGAAGAGGGTCGAATTACTTGCGTGGATGGCAACTGCCCAGCTGGCAGTGCGGAGAATGATGGAAGGAGTCTCAGATTCTGAACAAACTTTACCCAAAATACTCGAAACTCCTTACTTAGCTATAATAGCTACTGCATGTTTTATGTATATTAAAATACGTGTTGCCCACCTTTGCTGGTAGTGTCCAAGCAGCCCCCCTATCGAAGAATAGCACAATATTTTTGAGGCGCCATGGACATAGGACCCAGTTGTGTTTTGAAGTACGCCATGGACAAAACAGGACAAAACAATATCAGTCCCACAGGTTTGGACAACAAGTGCGTTTCAGCACACAATTATACAAAATTGTTTCAGTTGAGTCTCACGCGGGCGGCCTGGATGCCTGATTTGCAGCGCATCCGGAGCGAATCTGAGGTGTGAACCCTGTGATGCAGGTGCGTTCTCTCTTGAAGGCGGTGCTTGCAAGAAGTGCAGCCCTGGAACCTTTAGTCTTGCAGCCAGCGGCACCTGTTTGGCATGTCCTCGTGGAACCATTTCATCGACACCGGGGGCTTCAGCATGTGGCCCGGATTGTTGATGATGTGATGTGATGATTTTGTATAGATTTACTGTACCATCATGAGGGAACCTTCAAAGAAGCTTCTGGGGCACTTGCTTTGATAAATCTATATATATATATATGAGGTACCCCGCGATAGACCTACCTTTTTCTAGTTTTTAATGGCATTTGCAGGTTGTTTGATACATTTTGGAGGTTTGGATTTGATATACAATTTTGGACCTGTTTCAAGCAAACTTTTGTAGTTGTTTTTGTGATTTCTTTGCTGATGAAGAACATTTGCAAGACATTGCAATTTTTTGGGCCAAGCAGGGGTTCAAGATTCAAATAGACGTTCTTGGATCCCCAGCCCAGGGTTCAAGATTCAATATTCAATATTCAAATAGAAGTCTTCGATCCCCAGCCGAGGATTCAAGATTCAGATAGAAGTTCTTGGATCCCCAGCCCAGGATTCAATATTCAATATTCAAATAGAAGTTCTTGGATCCCCAGCTCAGGATTCAAGATTCAAGGTCAAGGTTCAAATAGAACTTCTTGGATCCCCTTGAAACTTGAATCCTGGGCTGAGGACCCAAGAACTTCTATTTGAATCTTGAATCTTGAATTCCGGTACTTAGTGCAAATTTGGCCAAACAATCGCAATTGTTTGCAATTTCTAAACTGTGGATAATGTCATACCCTCGATGTGTTTGACATGTCTCTGTTTTGATGTGGTGGTTGTAATCGTCTTTGTTGGTGCAGACATGGTGGCTGTTAGGCTGTTGTAGTACTTGTGGTTGCGGTTGCTGATTCATTTGTGGTTGTGATTGTGGTGTTGGTTCTGGTACTAGTGGTTGTGGCTGTTGTGGTCCTGGCTGTGGTGGTAGGAGTGGTGTTGTTTCCAGTGGAATGTCCAATGTCTTTGGACCAGTCTGTGGCAGATTGGTTGACATATTTGGGTTTGGTGGTACCAACCTCTGGAACCTTTCCTGGAGCTGTTGCTCCAATCTATTGAGTGGCCTGGTTGTTGGTGTACCTGTTGGCGGGCTGGTTCCTTTGGTGTCCTCCTTGGCCATTGCTGCATGTTCCAACCACCTGTACGGCCCTCTGGTGTCCTCTCTGGACATGGCTGCATGCTCTATGGTTAGCCACCTTTGCTCATCTATGGTGACATTGGAGCATAGGCTTGTGCCTGTTTGGTCACTGTATGTGCTGGATGAGCTGGCTGGTTGTTCTGTGCCCAGGGATATCTTTGTACCATCGGTGGCTGTGCTCATGGCTGCAAGGTGGTTTCAATAAAGAGGCTTGATGGTGGATTGGTATGTTCTGTTCTAGCATGGTTGTGGTCATATGTTTGTTTGTTGGTATTGAATGTATTGGTGTAGTAGGATGCAGTATGGTATCTAGCGATATTGTTTCTGTGCCTATCGTATGGAGCCAAAAGGTTGCTCGGTTGGGTTTTTGCTTGTATCGTTTTTCTTTGTAAAGACTTTATCATGTATAAACTATTGAATGTAATTGAATTATTTAGTTTTTTACAAACTGTTTTGCCATACAATGGCTTTACTATCAATGAGTTTGCCACGTTGGCTAACTACTTTGGATGGGCATCTAGGCATACTCAAAGAACTACTATATATATATATATATGTTTGCAAATTTGTACAACTATAACACTTTGGAATTTTGTAATGTTGAAAAAAGACTAAATTCAAAAATGTTTTCTTAAATGGTCAGTTTAAAATAATAGAATAGAATTTGTATCTACATTTATTGAAGATAATGCGTAATTGATATATTTTTTAACGCAATATATGTATATATAACTGTATTTTCATATTTTAACAACCAATTCAGATAAATATATAAACATGCACTGTATTATATTGTTTTATGATATTGTTTCCGAAACATACTAAATTTATAGAAATCCAAAAGCTAGAAACCTAGTTAGATTCAGATTCTGAATCTCAATCTCAATCCTGAATTAGATTCAGAATCTGAATCTAACTATTAAATTGTAAGGTTTTAGATTCAGATTCTGAATCTAAGTGCTTTTTTTCTAGATTTTTATTTGTTGTCGTACATATAATTTAGAATGTACAAAATAGTTTAAACATATTTTGTTTATACATATGCTTGATAACGTGTTTAAAGTGCATATATATATAATTTATTCAAAATTCTAACTATATTTAACATTTTTCATATTAGAAAAAAAACAGCATTATTGTATTGCCAAACTAGGAAAAGGTAGGTCCATTGAGGGGGGTAGCATATTATATCAATATTAGAGAGAGGTTCTTTGTTTGGAGAAAACCCGAGGTGAGGCATGTCCATCTGGAAGGTATGAGTTTCAGCAACAATTCTGCAGCGAGTGTCCGGCTGGTTTTGCTTCCTCTTCCGGAAACAACTCATGTAGCAAATGCCCAGCCGGCTATTTCGCACCAGAGCCTGGAAGCAGCACATGTGTTCCATGCGCCCTCGGCCTTTTCTCGTATGAGGGCAGCGCCACGTGCAGTGCCTGTCCAGCTGGAAAGTTTTCCACTGGTGCCACCTGCAAGAACTGTGAGGCGGGACATTACGCACCAGAGCGAAGTAGCACTTGCCTCCCGTGTCCTGGAGGCCTCTTCTCCGAAGAGGGAAGTGCCAAATGCATCGCCTGTCCAGCAGGCAGCATTTCAGTCGCCGCCAGTGGGGGTTGCAGTGAATGTGAAGCCGGCTTTTTTGCGAAAGATTCCATCACATGTGAACCCTGCCCTGGTGGAACCCGTTCCAGCGCAGCCAGCAGTACATGTCAGAGCTGCCCAGCAGGTGAAGTTTCAAGTCCAAAGAGTGCAGTTTGCACGAGCTGTAAGGGGGTTCTAGTGCGAGCCACTCCGGATTTTGCGAAGCAAAGCTGCCAGATCTTGGCTTTGGATGTGGTCCTAGCGCTGATTGCCTGGATCGCGGCAGCTTGCTTGTGCTTCCTTTGTTTGACCGGCTTCGCATATGGAATTCCTGTAGCCGATGTTTCTGCACAAGGTCCGAAGTTGGGCAAGATGTGCTCTTGTCATGAATCAAGGAGTTAGAAATTAGAAAGTAGGCTTAGTAGCTTTTGATGGCCCTATTGCACAGATGGCGCAACATGCTTGTTCGAAAGCATTCAATTCAATCTGCAATTTGCTGGTGAACCGATTGAAAGCCCCTTCCACCAGGTGCGAAATTGGTGGTGACTACCTCCCTGGCTCACTTCCTTTTGACGTGGGCACGCCCGGAGGCTGGTTGGTTTGGGAAGCAGGTAAACTGCTTTTCAGTATTCTTTCAAATGGTGTAACCAGATTGACAGACATTGCTCATGAATTGTCGATTGAACTCCTGACTCCTGAGGCTCTTGCTTAGTATATAATCTTCAATGGGTTTAAGTCACTCCCCTCCTCATTCTTTGAACGTTGTTTGACGGACTTCACAAACTGTCGATTGTTCCAAGGAGACAACACCCATTTCAACACCCAGCTCAGTGTTGCAGGACGCCCCCGAGAAAGTAGTAGTAGTCGTGGCCCCCCCCCCCTCGAACTGGGAAAAGTAGTCAGCCCCCCTCCTTGAACCCTTCTAACAGGCCATAAAGAAGGATCCTGTGCTACGAGGGCCTTAAAGAAGGATCCTGTGCTGAGGAAGTAGTAGCAGTCGTGGCCCCCCCCCCCCCCGCCACCTGGGAAAAGTAGTAGTAGTAGTAGTAGTCGTTTGCCCCCCCCCCCCCTCCTCGAACCTTTCTTACAGGCCTTCAAGAAGGGTCGTGTGGGCGCCCCCCCCTGCCACACAAAAATTGGAACACCCTTCTGGGGCGGCCTCCAGTGTTGACAGAGCCCTTTCCTTGTGTGGGGGCTGTATACTCTCATCGACACGTCGATGTTTTCGCTCTTATATAGTTGCTTTAACAAAAATAATGCGGGCCTGCTGCTTCGTTTCCACCTCTGAGCCCAGCCTAATGGCCCACCACTTGGGCCGCTTTCAGGTCACCTTCAGTGGCACAGGGGTGCCTGACTTGGATTCGAAACGCTTCTCGGTGAAGCCTTTGAGCTCATTTCAGCTGACGTTGTCAGCGTCTGAGTCGTCATTGGACACCTCCATGGGAGACTTGGAAGACTTACACCGGTTTCTTTCCATAAACAAATCCATATCTCCAGGTCCGGAGATCTTATTTAGGACAAACGGGAGGAACTCCCCAATCAACTCGCTGTTCTGCGGACATCGACGGAATGAATGTCATTGTTCGGGTGTCTCAGATCACATTTAAGGACACCTGCACGTGAAGTCCTTGCGGGGGTTTCTTGTGATGGGTTTCTGGCGCTGTCCTCTCATTGGCTGGTGCATTCTCTTTCTGGGCGTTTTCTCAGCAAGCATCAGCCAAATCAGCTGGTCGTTAACCCTGGTGGTCTCCTCCCTCGGGATGTGCACTGGCGCGTTGGCCTTCGCACTGAGACGGAGGTGGGGCTGCACTCTGTGAGATCCTCATCGGAACTACAAGCTTCAACTATGTAACTATCTTCAACTATAAATACTGTATAGCCACCATCGGTCACAACCCTGCTTTCGGTTGACCCGAATCACTAGTTGGACTGGAGGTGTTTGGTTGTGATTCTGAACCAAATCATGTGACGAATCCCTGTAACGAGGCAAGGTCGCACGCCATTGGTGAAGCGCTACCGGCAATTCTTCAAGGAGTGGCCTTTGGCGCTAGAATGCTCCAATCGCGGGCCCGAGCGTTCCATGGCTGCCGGACAGCTGCAGGATTTTATCCAGCTTCTTGGCATATGCAAGTCTCGAAACTGGGTTGGTTTCAGCTAATAGTGTATGATTTGACTCTGTGGGAAGTTGCACACATGACGCATGTTTTTCGCCTGGCCATGATTTCGATTGATTCTCAATGGCAGTGTTAAAGATAGCCGCACTCTGACATGTTCTGAACAAATGTGGATTGGGCCATGTTTAAGGTTCTTCGAGACCTTCATCAAGGACCGATCAATGTACTACGTGTGCTCGAACATCATCAAGCCGCTTACAGAGCCGTACCAACTCTCCTTCGTCGAAGTGGTGGGCTCGACCAAGATGGAGTGGTTCGTGAGTCACTATTGGGGAATGTCCGTCCGGCATTTTGGGGATGCCATCCGCAAGCATGCCCTCTCCTATCGGGAAGCATGGCGAGATTCCGGCTATTGGATTTGTACTTTTAGCCACCCAGACTCGTCCAGTATGAAATTATGTTGATTTGTTACGTTCCCAGGTTGATTTATGTTGGAAAATGTTGGAAATGTTCTATGATGGGGATTCCCAATGTGGATAGCCGCTTTGATGCAACCTGTGTTTCGTTCCCTTCATGCCGCCCTCCACCTTGAACGCCGGCAAAAGGCAACAACCAATGGCGTGTCGAGGAAGAGCTTGGGCAAGGCAATTGGCAACAGTCTTCGTTTTACCTTGCCCTGCAAAGTCCAGATTGCCAGGGCACCACTATGATCATCGACGAGCTGCTAAGGGCCAAGAAGAAGAAACACGCGTGTTTGTTTTTTCACACAGTTTTGCATACAAAAACCGCCTTTTAGGGAAATATGGTGAAATATGACAAGTGTGTTCGTTTTTTTTGTCCACCTATGACTAGGCACCAAGAAAACAACAACAGAAGGATCCTCCCGTACAGTACCTATTCCTCGTGCTGTTTTGGCAGCACACCTATTTGTGTTTGGCGCAAAAGTGACGCAAACCCCAAACCAATGTGTTGAGCCATAGCAATATCATTAATGTCTTAGGTGCTCCATGCTTCTACAAGCAACATATTTGGGACCTGACCGACTGTTTTGCCACCCAAAGCTCTTGCATATGTCTCCATCCATGTTCTTTCCCTTTGCACTTGCTCCAATAAAGTTTGACATAGCTTGGCCCATTTTGATCGACCAGCTCACTTTTCTGAGGCTGGTTCTTCCGCTCCAGCGCATTTGGTGCCTGTTCGAAGTCTACCACACCATCCGCCTTGCCAAAAGCGGTCGCTTTCAGGGCCTCTTGCTGTGCACCTCCACGGGTGTTTTGCAAGAGGGGAAGGCGGGCCGGGTTTGGCCGGCAACATTTCTGTTTGCCCAAACACTCAAAGACTCATAGACTGTGGACTAGATGATCAACATAGTCTCATACGTGTTCGTCAAAGCTGAACGAAAGACCCGGAGCAACTGGAGCAGCGCCCCGATCCATCGAACTCACCGGTGCCAGGCCGGCACCGACGTCGCGGTGGCCGTGGCCAAGACGGCCAAGGAACTGGACACGCAGGCGGCACAGGCCACAGCAGAGGAGGATCGACTGATGATCCACGGTCTCATCGAGCAAATGCCAGGTGGGCGACATGGGAAACCACACGGATGTCCAAGCGTTGATGGGGAGGGCCATGGGAGTCCTTCAATTCGGAGGCCGTTTTGAAGTGATATGTCAAAAGCTGTTTGACATGTTCATGTTCAAGGAGGGTGATAAAATAGAGCAAGACCTTACAACTACGAGATGAACATCGATGAACCTTCTCATGAATTTTCTTTATACCTTTCACATCATTTCACAGATTTGTCCACACAACATGGCGTCCACAATGAAAATCCTTAGTTAAACTGGCATTGTAGAAAGTGTGTTTGGGCATGTCATACATAAGGATACCAGGGCAGCAAAGCAAACGTTTTCCTCGGTCAGCAGGTCAGCAGGTTTCGACTTCCTACGTGTGGCTCCACCATGGATTGCTTTCATCTTCTGATGGTGTGATTGATACACTCAAGGGGAATGACTCAATTAGAAAACGGTCGGAAATCAGGAGAGAATGCAACTAAGACATGGAGCTTCCGATCAGGTTTCTTTATGCTTCACCTTTTACATCGGTGTTAGCCTCAACAACCATTCACATAGAGAGGGTGCTTTGAGACTTTTCGCAGCAGTGTGCCACAATGCCTATGGGCCTATTTAGTTGGTGGGAAAAATCGCCTCCGAAATTCTTCAACATGACATGGACAGCTTCTTGCAATAGATGCAAATCTCCGGTTTTACGTGAAGGTCATCCACAGGGCTGCGAACCTTTAAGCTTACGATAGAAGAGCCAAAAACTCATTGGGAAAGTGCCCCTGTGCAATGCCAGGGGGCTTTGAAACCATGAACGCCTATGTGCGTGAGACGATTTGTCATGCCTTGGAAGCTTCGCATCAACATTTCGAACGAACCTTCAGTGGTTTGGTGTGTGACTTGACTTCGCATCCTTTGAATCCTTTGCCTTCGCCTTCATTGCCCACACTCCTCACTTCAGCGCCGCAATGTAGCGATCCAGGGAAATCCATGTAGGGCAGGTGCCAATTTTCCAGAGCTGAGCTCAATTAAATTACAACAAGGAATGCTTTACTTAGATGTGAGGCCGCATCATCTAAAATTTAAGGAATGGTCTGAAATGATCGACCAACTGGGAGACCATTCCATGAGATTGATGCGGAATCTAATGATTGATATGGAATACGTCCACCCCCCCCACAAGAGGATTTGTGGACAAAAAATCATCAATCGTATTGAACCTGCATTTGCAGATCGCGATAATTAAATATGTTCAATCTAACCTATTAATTTTCATAAATAACATATCTGAAACGAAATAATCCATATTTAATAAAATAAATATAGAAAAAATATTGATTAGATTGAAAATTGATATTTATATATATATATATTTAATTTTGACGATTTATATGAATAAACATATTTTAGAATTATATTATCAATTACGAAAGGTAGCCTGGTAAGGACTACCTTGAGTTTGCTTTGCGAAGCAAAGGAACTGGCTTGAGAGCTTGCTCGGGATTAAAGATTGATAAATTAATGTCTAACACCCCTACCCTCCTTCCCTCCCCCTTCTTATGTGATGATTCATTGATAAATCAATTGATTCGACCTCCTCTCCCCCCCCCTCTCCGTCCCTTCCCCTCGTCGCTAGTACTACTTACTAGTAGTATTCTGGATATAAGATGAAGTCATGCGCTTAGCAGTTATAGCAGTACGACGTTGGCCATGAGGTTGCGCAATATAACACGAACCCTGCGCAATGAGGTCGCGTAATGCGGCTTCGATGCTGCGCGTGCGCACCCGGCAGCCTGACACACCGCGTACTGCCTTGGCAGCCTGACACACCGCGTACTGCCTTCTTAGACTATATTGCTCGACACCAACGAGCATCGATGCAACACAGCCTCTCTGCAAAGCCCTGTGGAGAAACCCTTCGCGTCGCGGAACACCATTCGACTCAGCCTTATACCCTAGCGTGGCGAAATCTTGCCGCATCGTGGAACACACACCCACCATAGCGTGACATCCATCCCTGGCAATACCGGCCGCACCCCTCCAGCATTATCCTTACAAGGGGGTTGGTCACTGCGGCTTCGACGCAACGCGTGCAGGCCTGTAATCCTGACACAGTGCGTGCAGCTGTGGGACCATAACTGCATGGTACACATGCAAGCGTTTACGCATTGCGACTTTTACGCGCGCCTGTTTTCACACACCTTTACACAAACGAGCGTCGACGCAACGCAGCCTCTCTGCAGAGCCGTGTGGCGCAATCTGACCGCAACGGTGTTCGTCTTGAGCCTTCTTGCGCTCTCTGGCTTTGTTGGTTTCATCCATGATTGACGAAGGGGCACGTTCCTGAAACACCGGAGGCAGTCCCTCACCAGAAAAGGTCCCGACAGCTCCCCGGTCCGTCTCTACCTTTCGTGTTTCCCCGCTCAAGTAAAATATAGGAATAATACTTTATTAAATTAAATTAGGAATATAAGAAATATATTGAATAAATTATATATTCTTAATATCGTTGTTAATAATATATATATATAGAATATATAATATATATATTATATTTATGGATAAATATGCGATTGGAAATTGAATATTTAGAGGCTTACGCCTAACAGCCGGGCGCCGGCCCACTTGGGTTTGTGGGGCGTATGCCTATGTTGGCCTTGATGGGGCCTATATTGAGCAAAGTTAAGCTATTTGGTGCGCATAGAATCTTGGCGCTAGGTTGGGCCAAGTGGGGCCCATGTGGTCTGTGTTAGACCTATGTTGAGCCTATGTTGGTTTACGTGAGGCCTATGTTGGCCGAGGTTGGGCCTATGTTGGCGTCTGTTGGCCCCAAATTGGCCTATGTTGGCCCTATGTTGAGCCATCTTGGAGGCTATGTTGGGAATACGTTGGCTATCTTGGGCCTATGTTGGGGATATGTTAGGCGATTTCTGTTGAAAAAATCTTCCGATACAATTTTTTACGATTTTTCCTGCCCGCAAAGCAAAAACCCTGTAAAAACCTACGTTTTTTGACATCCCCAAGATGAAATTCTCGCCCGCCCAGGGGCCCAAAACCCTGTAAAACACTGCTTTTTTATACCTCACACACACGATACACTGTAAATTACAGCGACTTCAGTGAACAGGAAGTGACCAGGGGGTC